GTTGCTTCCTTTCTCTCTCTCCCGCTTTCTTTATTTCATTCTTTCTCCCTTTCCTCCTTTCTTCTTCTTCCCGTTTATCTATCACCTCCTTCCCGCTCTCCCTCTTTATCTGTCTCCTCCTCTCTTTCTCTCTCCCCTGTACTTTTACCTTTACTTTTCTCCTTTCTCATTCCTTCATTCTCCTCCTCTTTCTCTTGCCTCTTTGGCCTTCAAAGTCCCCCTTTTTTCTCCTTTTCCCTTTTCTTCCTCCTTCTAAATACCCTTCAGTTCTTCCCTCTCTCTTCTTTCTGTATCAACCTCTCCCCTCTTCAGCTCTTCTTTGTCATTTTCCCTCTCCTCACTCCATTTTTTTACCTCCTTTCCTTCCTTTATCTTCTCTTCCTCCCCCCCCTCCTCCGCCACCCTCCTTATCTATTTGTGAACTTTTTTTTTCCTTTTTTTCTGAATATCGAATGATAAACAATGTAGGGGACCTGCGCCAGTGTTGAGATTCTAACCTATAATTAACCGCTGATTTTATGCACTCTACATGGCACGATTGATGGTCATTTATATAAGAGTCAGACAACAGTGATCGACCAAAATATTTGTATTGTTTTGGGTGAAAAAAATCGTCTTTACAAATTTTGGAAATATTACACAATTAATGAGATGAGGTTGGATTTTTCAGTATTATTATTCTCATAATCGGTGTCAGTGGTTGTTATCATCACTATGAAGTCACTGAATCTGATTAGATTTTTGTTATTCTATTTCTTACCCGCCCTATACACTGTACATTCCGTCTCCTCTTTATAATCATAAATCAAAATATCAATAACTGGCATACTTTCCACCATCAATCACGTAAGTTATCAGATATACATATCTATTAGCACTGCGTTCCTTATCCTTTGAAACCCCGTTTTAATACCTTTCCATTTTAATTAATACGCACGCCCCATTGTTTAAACGTACATACATAATACCAGTGACGGAATAACACCAATACAGCCCTATAATGATGACCCATTAACCCTTCCACTGATGACCTTTCGGTGTTAGATGATGATGACACGGTGGATATTGGGCCAAAAGGTGTAAGTTGAACTGGGTGAAAATAAACAAAGAACAGACAAGCAAAACGAGCCGCTTTTAGTATATTCTCTTAGCCACTAGGCCAGGGGTGGGCAATCAATTTTTACAAGAGGCCACATGAGAAACCTGAATTGTGTCAGAGGACCACACCAACGATAACTTGAACTTAATTCTGTTCAACTTTCTTCAACTTTCTTCCATTGCAAAATGCACTAAATCATATATTTAGGGCATTATATATTTAATAAATTATGTATTTAATAGATTATATATTTCGTAAATTTATATTTAATAAATTATTATATATTTAGTAAATTATATACTAAATAAAATATATTATTAGTAAATTATATACTAGTAAATATATATAAATTAAATATATTATTAGTAAATTATATATTTAATAACTTATATATTTAGTAAATATATATTTAATAAATTATATATTTAGTAAATTATATATTTAATAAATTATATATTTAGTAAATTATATACATTATATATTTAATAAATATATTAGTAGTAAATTATATATTTAATAAATTATATATTTAGTAAAATATATATTTAATAAATTATATATTTAATAAATTATATATTTAATAAATTACATATTTGAAAAATTATATACTTAATAAATCATATATTTAGTAAATTATATATTTAATAACTTACATATTTAGTAAATTATATATTCAATAAATTATATATCTAGTAAATTATATATTTAATAAATCATATATTCAGTAAATTATATATTTAATAAATTATATATTTAGTCCCTGTCCGGCCTCTCGGGAACCGGACAGGGACGCACAAAGGCCCGGATGTTTGCCCAGGTCTGCACTTGGCACTTCCTATGAAGACGCTATATATGAATGGTATAAATTTGTACATAAGGTGCGTGTACTCGTGTGTGTGAGTGTCTTCGTAGGGGTGGGTGTACGTGTGTGTGTGTGTGTGTGTGTGTGTGTGTGTGTGTGTGTGTGTGTGCTCTTACCTAGTTGTTTCACTACCGGTGAAGAGCTCAGCTCAGATGGTTCCGTCTGCTATATTTAAGTTGTTATATAACTTTTTAAATTGAAGCACATTTTTGGCACACACGTTTTTTTTTTTTTTTTTTTTTTCTTATGACTGTTTCATGCTTCACTAGTTCTGATAAAGAAACGATTTTTTTTTGACATCTTCATTGCTTCTTTTCATTGTCCTCTCGTCCTTCTTGTGTTCAAGATAATAGATTCATCTTTGTCTAATTTCACTCTTCCCGTAATAAAGCTGAACAGCATAATCATGTTCCCCTTTTCCTTCTTTCTTCCAAGGTAGTAAGTCCTAATTTCTGTAGTCTACCTTCGTAACTCATATCTCTTAGAGTGGGTACCCATCTTGTGGCCGCTCTTTGAACTCTTTCCAGTTTGTCTATATCCTTTTTTAAGGTTTGAATTCCATACCACTGCACCGTACTCAAGACTTGGTCTTATAATTGCTATAATGATCTTTACCATATCTTCGTCCACATATACAAATGCCCTCTTCATGTTGGCAGTCAGTCCAAGCATTTTGTGGACCTTTTCATTTATAAGATCGTTTGAGCATAGGTTACTGTTTATGATTACCTCAAGGTCTATTTAACTGTCAGCTGTTTAACATTGCGTCTCCTTATTTCTATTGGAATACGCGATTTTTACTGTCTCCGGACCTGACTACGTGGCATTTTATGTGTTGAATTCCATTTTGCATAACCACATGAATAAGTTCTCAATGTTATTTTGGAGGTATTGGCATGAGACGTCATCAATTATCCTTCTTTGCATTTTCGCGTCGCCTGTAAACATATTCAGATAACTGGGTTTATGTTTGACTTTAAATCATTGACGAAAATAGTAAACATAATCGGCGCCAAGACTGATCCTTAAGGTACTCCGCTGGTTACTCGTCGCCATGTAGAATGCTTCCCTCTAATTACTGTTTTCACCTGTTTTTCATAAAGAAAGTCGTCCATGCGAGGAGTTTGTCTTTCACTCCACATAGGTGTTCTAATTTCCACATTAGCCTTTTTAAATTTTAAGTACACACAATCCACCATACCGTCTCTTATGTTCAGACACTAGAACATAAAAACATAGATTTGCTACACGTCTCTTTCAACTGTGTTTCTCTTTTCTTTCCTTACTCATGATGAGATTTTCCTGTGGCAGACAGTATTTTAATTTAATCACTTCATGGTCGTTTTTTCCTAAAGGACCATACTTGATATCCATATCATCTTTATGTTTTGTGAATATTAGGTCAAGCATAGACGGCCTATCTAGCCCTCTTATCCTGATATGATCTGTTCCATTCTGGAAGAGGCGATACTCATTCATGACCATGTAATTTAGTATTCCATGAATGTGGTTGCGCTCTGGGATCGAAACTTTCCCAGTCGATTTTGTTGTTAAAATCCCCTGCGATAAGAATTTCTTTTGTATTGGTTTCCGAAAGTTGTAGCACTTCTTCCAGGCTCTTTATTGTCTCTTGAATTAGTTTTTGGCAATTTTCTTATGACCACACCGATGTATGAGGTGGTATGTATACCGTGGTTATTATCATGTTTACCCCGTTTGTTTCTACCTCAATTTCCTTCAGTTCCACTATGGGGTCTTGATTAATTTCTAATTCATTTGTAATAATTACTTTCTCTGTTGATATTGCTACCCTCCTCCATTTCCATCTGCCCTATCTCTTCTCCAAATATTATAGTCTTTGAGTCCTAATGCTACATCGTCTATGGAGTGATCCCGTTTGGATTCAGTGATGCATATTACATCTGGTTTATTCATTTCAATTATTGTCTCTAGTTCTAGCAACTTCGAAGATACACCATCAATATTTGTATAAACTATTTCTATATAATCTTTCGGTATTCCTTTTGGCTGCCGGATTATTCTTTGTCTCTACATTTTGGCTCCGATGGTATATTTGCTTTGCTTGGAGACCTCTCACCCTCCAAAGAAACAAGTTTTTTTTCCTCTTCACTCATTTTTGTTCTTTACTTCTTTCGTTTTGAAGAGTTTCTCTGTCATCTTTGGTCATATTTTCTCTTATCCAGATTTTCTTATATTCCTCATGGGTGACCAGGACTTTGGCTTTCTTAATTATATCAGTTACCATTTGCTTATTTATGAATGTTACTTTCAAAGGGCGTTTCTTTCCCTTCTCGAATAATCCCAGCCTCCTGTGAGCTATGATATTCTGCTCGGCGAATTCGGGATTTATGACCTTGAGAATCTTTGCAATCAGTTTCTTGTCCTCGTTGTATCGTTCAATTCCATCTACAACTTTTTCTTCATGTCCCAATATGACTATGTCCTTGTTTACATCAGCCATTTTAGCAATATTCCTTGCATGTTGCCCAAGGTGGGATTTGAATTCGTTCTTCTTTACCGTTTTTGCAAGCTGTGTCTTAATTTCTTCCTCTGTGATCTTGATTGTCTTTTTCTATCTTTTTTTTCCATTTCATTTACGGTTTCCTTTACCTTTGATACATCGGCATATGTAGCTGTCATCTTTTTAGCTCCTTCCATTATCTGAGTCTGGCTGCCTGACAAATTGCTTTCGTCCTGCTTGACAGTTTCTTGTACTTTGGTTACTTCCTCAACTTTTTCTTGTAGATATTTTTACTTCGGTTTCACTACCGTTGCCAATCTTGGTTTCTGCTTCTTCTGACTCTTCCTTGAGTTCTTTGATTGTCGTATCAGATTTTTCCTTATTCTTTCACTGAATGGTTGTGTTCCTGCGCAAATTTTCTACCAATTCCTTCAAATGTATGTTTTCTTCACTCATTTTCTGGCATTTGCTATCTGGTTGTCTACTTTGGGTTCAAAAGCCTCAGTTCTAACTGCTGCCGAAAACTTAATTTCCTTGTTTGATCTTAGTTGTTACGG